AATAAACGTTGTTGAATGAACATGTGTGTGAGGTCAGGCCAAGAAGTGCAGAACGGTGATGCTCCCTCCTTGCCTGCTACCTGGCTCTGAAGAGGGGACTGCCCCCCCCCCCCCCAAACCAGCTGTCCCTCATGTCTGCAGCACATGCTGGCCCAGAACCCCTGCCCCCTGCAGATCCCTGAAGGCCTCCCAGCCTGGCTCTCTGCTGCACGACTCTGCGGGCAGGAGGCCAGGCTGTGGAGGGGAAGGGCCCCTCCTGCTGGCCAGGAAGGGACTGCCCCTGCCCCTGGGCTGATGGGCAGGCAGAGCACCTCCAAGAACGAGGCCAGGTGTGGAAGTGGGTCTTAGGACCAGGCCTCTGACTCCTAACGTTATGGGATGATCACTGGAGCTCCAAGGAGGGTACCCATGTGGAGGAAATGGTCACTGGAACTTCTTGGGGTGGGGGACCCCACCAAAAAGGACAGGGGCGTTTTTGGTTTCAGCAGAATAGACATGGCCACCTCCAGACACCAGCCACCAAAGGACACTGGTCCTGGGCTTCCCCAGCCATCAGCCTGCTGCTGGCGAGCCACTGACGGGGGCAGGGGGCAGGGGGCAGGGGCTTGGGCTGGCTGCTTGGCCAGGGCGGGGACTCCTGCGGAGACGGGGTCCAGAGCCCCTCACTGGGGCTGCAGACAGGAGGGAACAGCGGTCCAGGCACAGGAAACGCTGGCTCTGTCGCTCTGGCCGATTCCTCCCCCATTGGGCCTCTCTCTTCTCCGCTCTCCAATGAGGTGGGACAGACGACTCAAGCAACGGGGACGCTCTGCTGTGGCTCCAGGAGGGAGGCCACGGGAGTCAGAAGCCCCATTTCATTAATGACATCACACATTCGTGTGCCGGACCAGGCTGGGGACCGGGGCTGGGTTCTGCCCTCGCGGACACATGCCAGCGAATCACCGCGCATCAGAGGTGACCAGGATGCCCAGAAAGGGAGCCGAGCGAGGGTGCCAACCTGCTCTCAGACGCTTCCCCAAGGAAGGACTCCTCTTCGCAGCCACTGAATCCAGGACCGGGACTGCGGATGCTTCTCTTCCCGCAGAACGCACGCGCAGATACGATCTTGGAGCCTAAATAGCCAGTTGGCTGGAAGGAAGACAGGCCACTCTCTGGTCCAGAGGTCTCCCCAGGACAGTGTACTCCTGGGGAATCTGGTGGGCAAGGGGGTAGGGGCTCACCCTTTTCCTAGCTCCTTCCATCTGCAGACAGAAGGCGGGTAGGGGAAGGGTGTGGGCGGAGTTGGGGTGGCCTGTGCCTGTGTCCTCAGCCACCATGGTAGCTAGGGGACGGGGATGAGGGCTTTGCTGCTGAGTAGAAAGCAGGAGCCTCCTGTGACAGGAGCCTGGCAGGGAGTTTGAATCTGGGGACCCCAGCAATGGGACGAGGACCCTCCCAAGGGGGGAGGAGCAGCATGGCTGGGCCTGCCCCGCACTGGCCTGGGCTACTGTAGCTCTGAGCAAGCACAGTGGCCCCTCCCTCCCCCCGTGGACAACAGCATGGGCCTCGCTGTGGAGCAACCCTCTTACCTGGAGTCTCTGGAGAAGAGCTAGCACCAGGCTGGGCAGGCAGGAAAGTTCAAGTGCAGCTAGTTTGTTCCTTCCATGAAACAGGTGTTCCCCAACACACCGGCCCTGAGAAGCGGCCCTTCCGCTGCCACCCCCATTCCCCCCCTGCCTTGGAGAAGCAGTTTCCCTGGCTCCAGGGGTCCCTCTACTTTGCAGAAAGTAGAAAGGACACCTGCAGACAGGTGATGGTGGCCGCCCTGCAGGCCCAGCGCCGTGGGGCGGGCAGAGGGTGAGCTTGCTGCTGGCCCCGCCAGCCCCCCTCAATGCCCCCGCCCAGCCTGCCCCACATGCAGCCTGGGTGGAGCTGGGAGGTTGGGAGCCACCACAGGGTGAGGCAGCCAGGAGCTAAGAGAGCCGTGCAGCCCAGGACCAAGTCTTCCTCAGCTCAGCCACCCACCCGCCAGCTGGGAAGGCCCTGGGTCACCACCCATCTTGCCTGCTGCCATTGAGTCCCAGGCGGCTCCCGTGAGGACCATCTGTCCGAGAAGTCACCTCACACCTTCCCTTCGGTGAAGACCTTCCCTTCACGTCGATGTTGCCATTGCTGTTTCCACTCCACACGCACTGAAGAGACGCAGTCGGGGAGTCTGAGATGGAGAGGGCCGGACTCGTCTCTCTCTGCCTGCTGTTAGCCTAACCACGAAAGTATCTCTTTATACAGAATACTTAACAGATTCTAATATATATTTGTATTTCATTTTGTTATAGTATTTTTATATGTTGAAGTCAACATCCCGTGTCCCGTTTGAGTTGCAGGTGTCCGTGGTTGTGACGTTCGGTCTGGGGGTCCCGTAGCCTCGTTTGGGTCGCTCTCCTAGAGACTGGCTTCGTGCAGGCCCATGGGGGAGCCACGCCCGCCCTTTGCCTAGAAGTGCTGTTGTAGAACATGTTGGATATTGTCTGTTGTCTTCCACGTGAACATGACATTGATTCGCTCAGGCTCTGTCTTGCTGATCTCTTTTTCCCGTGAGGATGCGCCGGGGCTGTCCACGGGCCCCCTCCTGGGTCCGAGGGCTTCTGGGTGCCCACAGGCCAGCCACAGTCCACGGGGGCTCCCGGGGGGCAGCGCATGTAGAACATCTGCCCTCGGAACTCACTGCTCTTCCTGAAGTGGCAGAGGCCTGTCCCTCCTGCAGAAGGTGGGGTGGAGGTGGGGGAGTGGCCTGGGAGACGGCTGGGCCGTAGCTGCCCAGGCATCGGTGTGACGGCGAGCTGGCACTGCCCAGCACACCCGGGGCTGCTCATCTCACTTCCCTCCGAGGCTCTGCCGTCATACCAGGTGTTGTAAGTCTGTGGACAGAGCCACACCCATGTCACCAGGCAACCAATCAGAGAGCCGCGTGGCTTCTCGGGCCATCCTGCAAGGTTTACCTGCCTGTTGCCAAGACAGCAGCTCTTAGGGATCAGGGGAGGAAGGAGGCAAACATACTGCTACAATATTCTGCGACGGTTCCCAACTGCATGCCAGACTGCACGGGGGAGTTCTGTCAGATGGCACCCGAGGGAGGACAGGCCTGGCAATCAGGCGGGGCAAGGCCCGCCTCTGCGGCCAGGACACAGACAGGTTTCCCACAGGGAGACCGGGTTGTGGCGCTGGTCAGTCGCCTGGAAAATGGGCAGTGACAGGAGCTGCAGTGCCTTTAGCACAACTAGGGGTTTTGGAGGGAATGTGACGGACCAGGCAGGCCTAAAACAGGTTTATAAGCTCCAGTGTTTGGAGTGGGCAGCCCGTTACCTAAGTAAGTGGGCGCACGCCCTCGGGGCCGTCCCGTGCATGGCCATTTCCCTGCAGAAAGAAAGGGCAATGGTGGCGGACAGTGAGGGCGGGGACCCATCGTCTGAGTTCCAGCTGACTCTTACCGTGACCAACTTTCCAGGTCTTCCTGGTCTTTTTTTTAAAGAGAAGCCAGAAGTCAATTTTTATGTGAACACTCAGTTTCAAAAGCTTAAAAAAAAGCAACCAAAAAACAAGGAGCTAAAAACACATCTCTGGGTACCAGTGTGCAACCGTGGGGCTAAAGACAAATAAGAGGCAAGTTTCAGAGTCAGAAGGACAGCCGCTGCCTGGCCGGTGTGGCTCAGTGGTTGAGCATCGACCCATGAACCAGGAGGAAGCAGTTAAAATTCCTGGTCAGGGCACATGCCCGGGTTGTGGGCTCGATCCCCAGCAAGAGGCAGCCGATCAATGATTCTCTCTCATCACTGATGTTTCTCTCTCTCTATCCCTCTCCCACCCTCTCTCTGAAACAAATAAGACCTTTTCTTTTTTAAAGGGACATCCCTGTCCCAGGGAGCGGACACTGCAGGCTTGGCTGGGGGTGGTGACAATATATCTCTATTATCCCTACACCCCGAGTCAGTGCGCATCTCTTGGGTCACATTCTGGCTTTTCTACCACAGGAGGGCCCCGGAGGAAAAGAGGTCTATTGTATCAATGAAAGGCTCTCATCTGGAACAAGGTAATGCTCCAAACGTAAACTGAGAAGGGGTGCGCAGCTGGAGGGGCGTATTTCCACTGGGTGTGGTCGGCATGTCCACGGCCACGGACAGATGAACCTGTCGGTGAAAGCATGGCTGCTTCCACAGGAACCCTGGTCCACTGGATACTCAAGCAGATCCATCTCAAGGAGACATGAAAGAATACACTGAAAGCATAATAATCTGGCCACTCGATGTATAACGTATATAATAAAAAGCTAACATGCAAATTGTCCCCTTGACCAGGAGTTTGGCCAGCAGGCAGGCCAGCCAACCACCCATGTTCCCTCCCCCTGGCCAGGCTGGCTGGACCCCACCCATGCACGAATTCATGCACCGGGCCTCTAATAGATACATAGATACATACACTGAGTGGCCAGCTTATTATGCGTTCGGAGATCTGGCCACTCAGTGTATAATGAAACAGGTACCACCCCCTTATTTCAAGCTGCTTACCTGAGGTCAGGAGCCTGCGGAAGCCCAGTGCCCCCTGCCCCTCAGGATGCAGCACCTTGGTCGGCTGCCTCCTGCATACCACCTCCTGGGGATGAGGACTACCACCCCAGTGTATAACCTGACTGGGAAGTGAAACTCCTGGTTCATGGGTCAACGCTCAACCACTGAGCCACACCAGCCCGGCAGGGTGATGGCCTTTTAACTCTGGCACCTTCCCACTCCGCCACAGGAACTCCCAAGGACCCTCCCACCGTGTTTTCTTTTGCCTGAAGTCAGGCATGACTCACGATGACCACAGATCCAGCCATCGATGTCCCTTTAAGCCCAACACGACATTGCGGTCGAAGCAGAAGTGTTGCCTTGTGGTTCCTTTTGGCCACTCATCAGCTTTGCTCTATGCGTTGAATGCTGGGCCGCGGTGCATCGGTACCTCTTCAGTGACTACACAAACACGCTTTGATATCAAAGAAGTTTAATACGCTGCAATAAAATAAGCGCCTAGAAAAAGCTCATGGAATAGATGTCACGGTTAGAGTAACCCCTCCCACACATCCAATAGCTCCACACCCCACCCCTCAAACCAACGAGGAAATCTAAAACCAAGGAAATCCTTCCAAGCTTGGATTTCAGTGAGGACCCTTCACCAATAACAAGAACAGAGCTTCCTACACGGCCTAAAAGGAAAGTAAAACACAGAAGCACAAAAAGTCCACAAGATTTCAATATTTAGGAGACTTGGTACATATTCAAAGTTAAAATAACTCCAACTCTTATAGCTATACATATTGTTTTAAAGCAACTTAATATATTTTAAAATTTCATATATACACTCTCAAAGGTTCTTCAGGTGAGGTATGTAAACATTGTCTAATGAAATATTTTCAATGTTTCAAACCAACAAATTCACAGCATACATTGAATTTTCATCCATAAACAACACAGTATTTCCCTACACTCTCTAACATAGTGGAAATCCAGGCCCGAGAGATACACGCTGGTCATCCGATAACCCTTTGCCGAACTCTTCATCTCAGTGCTTTTGAAAAGACCGCAGGTACACAGGTCAGGAGCACACACGGGGACCGGGAAGGGGCGGGGCCCTCCGAGACTCTCTCCTTGGGCATCTGGATCACTGGCTACGACTCACAAGACGGCAAAAAGGAGGAACACATCAGAACAACTACAAGATTGACCTTGGCAATGACAACACGGGGAGGGACCAGAAAGACCTTTAAAGGAACGGTAGAGATTCAGCTTAGAACTCCCTGGATCCACAGCCGGATCAGCAGCCCTGGCCCTAAATTCATCGGAAGGGTCCTAAAAAGAGTAAAACCCACCTCGGCACCTGAGCTTCAGTTAAACTGCACGGTCCTGCGGGCCCCTCGAAGGCATGAACTCTGGCCTGAAGGAGTGCCCTGGCTGTGCTTTTCGTACAGGTTGGGGTTGAATTTCTTAATGTCAATGATGCATACGGGAAAATAATGCCATGAGTTTATAAAGACCACGAACGCCTGCACACAGGCATGGGCCAATGACCTTGGAGGAGCTCAATTTTGAAAACTACTTGTTCCCTGAGGGTAAACAGCAGGCTTCTATTGAGATTAAGTGAGGCTGGAAAGGGGATTATTTATTACAAAGTAATAAGACTTGGGGCACCTCAGCCCAGAATTCTATTTTACTCTCACATAATCTACACCCCCCCTCCCTGCCCTCCCACCACATGAAGTAGTCACCTTCCCACCGATACAACATAGGTCAGCTTCTTTCCTCTTGCTTGCTGTCTTAGGCCCAGCAATGGAAAGTTTTATCCTAATGCACCCACTTCAAATCTAAAAAACACTAGTGAAAAATTCCAAACACCATCATAAATACAAAAGAGAAGACATATTCCAAAAGCCTAAAAAACTACATTGTTCTACTCCTGGTTATTTGGGTATGGGGTATTTTTCGTAGACGTGTAGGACGGTCACTGGGAGAGGCTGCAACACAGCTTGGACGCCTGTGGAGCTGGACTCGCTGGGAGACCTGGAGGAGCGGCTGCCCTCTGCACGCACCAAAAAGGCTGAACCCCAGACAGAAGGGGGCTCCAGACATTCCAGACCCAGGCACGGGAGAGGGTTCCAGAAACTGGGCTAGCTTCTCAGCGTGGGTCAGACATAGTTAAAGGACTTCAAATTGGCCATTTAAATTTCTAACGTAAATGGTTCTTACATTTACTCTATAGCCAAGTGAGCTTTGCCTCAACTAGATGCAGGAAGCCCTTACAAATTTATGGAATATGGACACTTTTTCAGTCTCTATGCCTGATTTTTGATGTCTGGTGCCGGCAGGTTTCTCACCCATTCCTAGAGTCCTATGACTGAAAGGAGTGTGCAGACAAACAGAAGCAAAAATTCAAGTACAGCAACCTCTCAGGCAAAGGCAAGAGGTCTTAGCAAGAGCTGTCCTACCCCGACCCTATCCTCTGAGACAAGGGCCCACGCGGAGCCCGGAATAAATGTTATTACCTAGGATCTTATTGCTTGGAGGCAACACATCAGAAAGAACACCTGGAAATCTGCTCTGCAGATCTGCGACTGACCACTGACCAGTTTATCTCACACACACACACACACACACACACACACACACACACACACAACATAACCAGATGAGAAAAGGGGGCGATTAAAGCTTGGATTTGATGTAACATTACAAATCAAATGCCCCAAACAGCTCTCAACCTGCTGGTTTTTTGTTCTTTCTCCATGTGTGAATTGTGTCATGAGAAGAGTCCACTGCTCAAAATATATTCTCCTACAGCACTACATGCAAACCGACATCACTCCGGACAGGAATCTGTATACAGCACACATAATAAATATTTTTTTAAAAACTATTTACAACATTACTTCCCGTGAACATTGAAATGCAAGCAAAATTTATTTCTTCCTGTAAAAGATAAAAAAGTTTTGACTGTCTAGTTCAGTACTAAATTCCCTGGCAAGTAGTTACCCATTCACATTTCATCTTAAAATCAGATTTGCTTACAAATAGTATCATAGAAAAAACACACAAACTTTCTCCAGCATTACTGTTCAAGTGTCTTCCTCATTGTTTGGAAAAGACAAAGGAAGCCATAAGTAAGTATGTAAGGTATGATTCAAATGGATGACAAAATCCCCTGTGGTCCAATCCCGAGCTGCTGTCCTCAATCCAACAGAATGAGACTCGTGACTCAGCACAAGTGCCCAGGAATGGGGCGCAGGGGAGAGGAAAGGACCGGAAGTCATCGGTTCCATCATGTCTGAGGGTGCTCTGAACTGCAGACCAGGACTCCTGAGAAGTAAAGTTGCACACATCTTACAACAGATGGTTTTGTCCTGTAGCCACAGGTGGGGCTGGCCCACAACTACACAGATGCTTGCGGAGATGGGGACGGGGGAAGGAGAGGGACGGGGGAGAAAAGGAAGAGAGCCATATTGCTCATGAGTACTGTCGAGGTGTGAAAGAAAACATGCTTATCTTCCATGGTTCATGGGGGTGCGAACTGGTGTCTTTCGCAAACACGAGAAAGACTGAAATACAGCTTAATGCTTTCTTTAGGCAACAAGTGGTTTCTCCATCGCCCACAGGTATGGGTTTGGATTTCCTTGGGGTTACAACTAAGGCTCCTTTTCCTGCACAGGCTGCTAAGCGAACGTGCCAACCACGTATGCAGAGTGGGCTGCTCGAGGCCAGCCCTGAGGCCACTAGGGGCGCAGCCATACTTCGTTCTGGGACAGAGTGACAGTGGGGCATGCACTCAGGGTTCCCAATCCATGTCACGTCTGCCCCAAAACAGTGAGGGTTCCAACCTATCTGCCTTCGCTGTGTTGTTTGGGGGTTCAATGGCTGAGCACGGTAGCTGGGGAGGACGGGTAGCCAGAAAGAACACTTTTCTGAAAAGCCCTTTTGACAGTTAACTTTTTTTGCTAAAATAAATACTTTCTACAGAAACATTTGAACAGGAAAATATCACTACTCACACAGTGAAATAAACTCCACAGTCATGTGTATAAACTGATACTCTATATGCATTTGAAACACCACCAGTTTCCTAGATCTAATGTTAAGGATGCAGAAACCACTGGTGAGACTAACAACCTTAAGCTGTAGTGGCTCTAAAAGGAATCTCGACTTGTGGTATAAATATTCAAAATTATGCAAATCTTGTCTGGTTAGCATCCCTTCCACAAACTAGCTCCCAACCACTACAGCTTTAGCTACAAGACATATGTAGATGACAGAAAACAATGGGGTGGAAAAGTTGCTAATTTAAAAATAAAGTTAGGAAAGGAAAAATGCTCCTAACATGACATCTAAATGAAGCGCCTGGAAGAGGGAGACTTCCCGGAGAGCCGCCTCCCGGAAGGGGGCTGGTGGCAGGAGCAGGAGCGGGAAGACAAAGGTGCCACAGGCGGCTCCTCAGCAGGAAGTGAGTCAGGCCTGATTGGGTCAGCTTCGCTGGCCCAGAGAGCCCTAAACTTCCGCCTAAAGCTGCTGACATGCTGGTATTTTTAAGAGCTAGGTGGGGGTGGGTGGTCTGGGCTCATGGTTGCAACAAGCAAAGACCACGCATTTATGTTCACGACAACCCAAGCTTGGGGAGTGGGAAACGTGCAGGTGCCCTGCACAGGAAGAGGGCTCCACGGGGCAGAATGGACTCGGCCTGTGCCTGCTGGGGAGGCGCCGTTCTCGCTCTCGGTTCACTGGGAACCCCTTTGCGCTGAGCCCTGCCACAGAGGAATGTTTGCCCGACTCGCACATGACCAAGACCGTGGTGCTTTCAGTATAAGACTTTGTACCTCAACTGCGTATCCTTGTAGAGAAGGCTGAATGTCTACGATTCAGTGAACAGTCCATCAACAAAAGGGGGTATTTTCTTGTTCTTTAAAAAAATGTTTTAAACTGACTTTTAGAAAAAGGAAGGGAGAGGGAGAAAGAGAAACACCACTGTGAGAGTGGAACAGCGATTGGCTGCCTGCTACACACCCACTAGTGGGGATGAAGTCCGCAACCCAGGAATGTGCCCTGACCGGAAATCGAACTTTTGGTGCATGGGATGACGCCCAACCTACTGAGCCACATGGGCCAGGGCTTCTTGTTCTTTAATACACAAACATTACTCAGGGATAATGTGAAACAGTAGCCATGTGTGAAGATGAATTCACAAGAGTTCATAGGTTGAACCCGTAGCCAGCTCAAGGGTTGAATTATATTAATAGCTATCTCAAAGGTTTCCCAATTCTGCTGTTTTAAATACAATAATCTTTTTATCCCCCCACCCCCATCCCGAACATGCACAGGGAAGAGTACTAACCACTCGGAGGCAGGTACTGCCTTGCTAATGTGATGGACATAAGAAACATGATTTCATACTTACATTTTTTATTTGTTGGCTTGTCTTTAATAAAATTGTTTTGAAAGAAGAGTATGGGAATTGGGGGGGGGGGGGGAAATCAGTGCCTATAGTTTTATTTTCCTAGAAGCTGGCCCAAAATATTATACAATCAACAATGCTTTGGGTTTGTGATTAGACTTTGTTTTCCCTCTGAAGCCTTTTTCCATATGAATGTGAGGTTCAGAAAACTGAACACCCAACTAAATGCAGTCTCAACTAATTTGGAAAAAAATAGAATCTTGACTTACTTTAAAAATAAACAAGAAGTGAGTCTAGTGTCAGGTCTATGATAGTGAAATGAGCCCTGGCCAGTTTACTCAGTGATTAGAGCATCAGCCCACAAGACCAAAGGGTTGCAGGTTCGAGTCCTGGTCAAGGGCCCATACCTCGATTGCAGGTTTGATCCCTGGCCCAGGTTGGGTGCATGCGAAAGGCAATCAGTTGATGTGAGATCTGTTTCTCTATCTAATCACCTCCTCCCTGCCTTCCACTTTCTAAGGATCAAAGAAAAGGATATCCTGGGATGAGGATGGGGGGCCGGGGATGAAATGAGAGACCCAGGCCTCATAATTTTAGAACTCTGAATTCCTATTTGCTCACAGGCCGACTCGTTTTGTTTACTGTGATGGTTGAGTCTAAGAAGGAAGAGAGGAGGCTAAGGTAGCTCAAGTTTCACAGATGGTAGTCAGTGTGTTAAAGCAATGAAGTAACTTCTTTTGTTGCAAGAATAAATTAAAAAATATAAAGGAAGAATTAAGTTGAGGTAAGATAAGGAGGGGCAGGAAAGAAAAGGACAGAGAGGGAAAGAGGCAGAAGAAAGGAGAAGATACATCAGGGAAGCTTTGTTCCTGAAAAAGGATTATTTTCTCAAGCAAGGTCAGCAAACTTTCTTAAAGGTCCAGATAGTGAATATTTTAGGCTGTAGGCCACATGGTCTCTGTTGCAGCTCAACTCGCTGGAATGCAGTTGCAGACAACCCATACACAAACGGGCGTAGCTTTGTTCCAATAAACGTTTATTTACCAAAGAGGAACAAGCCCCAAATCTGCAGACTCTTGGTAAATTGTTTCTAAACCAACAGAGAGAGAGCCTTAAAACCAAAAGGCCTGGGAAATGCCAATCCAGTGCCAGGGACGATGAAAACACCAGCCTGTTGATGGTGACACCAGAGCCTCACCAGCCTGCATCACATAGCAGTCTTTCCCTACCAGGCTCTTAGTTCCACCCAGCATCAGGAATGCTGCCCCTAATGAATGACAGCTCCCGCCCTCACCACAGAATCCATCACAAGGGAGAACAGAGACCAAACTTCAATTCAAAGTAACCGGAAGTGTTTTACCGATGACCTGTCTGAACAGGGAGAGGCTCACCTGCCAAGTGTGTGATGTGCAGAGGGTTGCATGAAAAGTACTGCATATGTGAAGGGATGATAGATACACCTTTCCAACTATGCCACCTCAGCAACAATGAGGCATGGAAGCCACTGCTCAAGGTTATTTTTTAAAGGTAAGGCTTGTGTAGAAGTCTTTAATGAAATACAGAAACAACAGAACTGGCTACCTAAGGGATGGAAGGCGCCAGCAATTGCACAATAGATGCTATTAACATTCCTATGTAGGAAACCTCCAGAGCAGAACCAAGGATCACGGTCTTCCCGCTGCGCTGTCTGAGGAAGTGCCAGGGTGAGGCTCATGGCGTCCTCCCAGACCCAGGGAGCCTCACGGGACAGAAGATGGGTCTGCAGAAGAGGACCCAGCTCTGGGTGGAGCACCAGTGATGCTTCCCAGGCATCTCCCAGCTTCTCCAAAAGCTAAGAGATACTCTCAGTGGTCTCTGGGCATCCACCTGAGTTCCATTAGGACAATCACTTCACTGAGCACAGCCCCAGAAGCAGAATTTCTTCCTGATTTGGAATCCAGAATGTGGGACAGACTGCCTTTGCATCTGATGGCAAGCCATACATGAGAAAGAGGCCTTTGCAAGAGGGGGGAACAAGGGGAGACTTGAGTCAATATCAAAGCCTGAGCTTGGAGGTGTCTGGGGACAGCATCGGCTTTAAGCGTAAAAAGGCCTTTCAGAGACAGCCCTCAAATCAATCTTTTCTTCCTTCCTTCCTTCCTTCCTTTTCAAAATTAACTGAATCAGCAAAAACAAGATTCAACAAATACAAAAAAAAATCTAAACTTTTAATCTCATAATTATGCAGAATCCCAGTCTATTTAAGTGTAGTCACTACCATAAAGTGTAAGTTGATTTTAAAGATGATCCATAACATTAAGTGTATAAATAAATACATACACACACAATGAACTTTTCTCAAATGCTTTTTAGAATGGGAGAGAAGGCTATTATCTTGAAATGAACTTTTACAAACAAAAAAAAGAACGTAGAAAAGTCATGGAATGAGTTATAAATCTGGAACTGGAACAGTTCCACCCACCTACTGCCTCACACCTCTAACACAATGCAAGCACCCTTCCAAAGTCGTCCATTGCAGCTAAGGGGGCACCTTGAACGCATGTACAGGAATTCGCACACCTGACATCGGCAAACCTCAGCTATAAGTCACCACAAAAACAATATCCAGTGACGACTCTACATAAAGGTTTTTTTAAACTTTAAAACCACTTTTAAAAGATTAAACGAACTTACTCAAAACATATTAATGCTTTTGTGCAACTTAATGCTGAGAAAAGGTTGCCAACATACACACTCAGCAGTTTCATTAACATAGGTAGCTCTTCAATGGCCATAGTCAAAGATATATATATATTAAAAAAAAATGAGACTTATGGGATAGAGGAGACATTAGGAAAAAAATACATATCACGGCTTCACTGAAGATAGGTTTCACTATCTATGAAATTCAATACAACTCTCAATTTCCCATGAATCAAATGCTTTTTTCCAGGCCTATCCAATCATCAGAAGTTTTCATTGTACATATACAGCAAGCCTTTTACAGACTGGACAGAAGGCCTGTTTTATCAAGATCTAAACAAACTAAAGTATGAAAAAGTCCATCTGGGTTTATCTAAACTGGTCTGAAACAATCTAAATGGAACAACTTTTAACAGAAAGGACAGAGAAGCAGCTGTCCTTGTAAGCCTGTGTTGGTGACAGAGCATGTTTGAGAAACTGGTTGAGGCTTTAACAACTAAGCCTGTTTGTAGAATGGCCCAATGGAAATGTTGAGTACACGATGTTCAATGGAGCATTGTTATAGGCACCAAGGCAAAGCCGATGCACCCCTGTGAGGCTTCACCTGGGAAAGGCAAACATCATCAATTACAAATACTGCAGCTCTCGCTTTTGAGCCTGACATGGCGAAGGCAGGAGTGATACTATTGTACAAGCATGAACTATGAGTACGGTGCTAACCAATCAGAACGGATCCCATTCTAAACTTGTACTTCCGCATGAACGTTAGATCGGGGTGCAGGCCATATGGGGCCACCATGAGATACTGGAGCTGTTTCCTCCAACTGCAAGTCTGCTGTGGCCTCTGCATAACTCTGTGCTCTTTTGACCTTTCTGAGCCTGATGCCAGGATGGTTTGCAGGATGTTCACAGAAATCCTTGGCTCCCAGTTCACGAATCCCGTAGCACATTGCACAGGGAAGAGAGAATTTACTGTGGAACTGGGGTTAGGAGGCATTGGTGGCCAACAGCCAGAGACAAATGTACCCAAATGCACATGCACACACACATAGTATTAAACTTTTCTACAACTGGAAATAACATTTTGGCTCTTTTTGAATATAGAAGTACTCAGGGTAAAAAGAAAATTAGCATAGTCACTCTCATCCTAATTGGCAAATTACAGCTATAAGCGGGGGTGGGGGGAACTTTGTTAGAGTGCTAGCAAGCTCAAGGCCCAAAATGAAAAGGATGGTAAGGACAAGTATTGCAAATAATTTTTAGAGGTCATAAGCCAAAATCAATACCTGGCAACACACCTTTTGTCTCATGGGCACATAATTAAGAATCCATTTTTCCTCCATGTGACAAAAGATCAAAGGTAGGAGGAGTGACCTACAATGAATGATTTTTTTTTTTAAAGGGGTAACAAATATTAATCTTTTACAAAAATTATAAATGCCCTCTGCATTCTCCACATACCATAAAAATGATTTGGTTTAGCTTTCAAATATCATTTAAACAGACAAACCAGACAGAGAGGGAAGTTCACTGCTGGGGTTTGCAGAGAGGAGCGTCTGCTCACGTACGGACTGCAGGGAGCTGCTGGAAAGCTACTTTATGTGCATGACGGTGGTCTTCTCGGCTACAGTACAAGTGCTTGTGCATCAAGTATAAAATACAAGCCTTTATCACATAGATCAGCTTTTTAGCTTTTGTAAATTTTAAACACAAAAGGGATAAATAAGGCACTGTACTTTTAAAAACTACAACTGCTTGGTTCCAAGTTTAAAACCCAAGGAACAACCAGAATATAATATATAACTTCCCTTACTCAGCCTCGGAGAAAGACTGCGAGTCTCCTTCTCCATCTGAGATGCAATTTCTGACATCTCCATTAACTGCAGGTTTGAAAGGCTTGATAAGCTTATAAAAGCGGATTCAGTTAATGCAAAATAAAGGGTTCCTTCTGCAGAACAGTTTTACTCCTGGCTCCCGCCCCTGGCGTCACTTGGCCTCCAGCCGCCGCCGTTTGCTGTGGGAAGAGTCCAGCTTTGCCTTCAGCTTTCTCTTTCTCTGGGCTGCGCTGTTCTCCGGGGTTTTCACCAAGGGCCTGGCCCCAGCCTTTCCGCTGCTCTGCTTTCTGTTCGCGGCTTTCGGTGGCCTTGAAGCGGATTCACTTGCCCCCTTTGGCTTTGCAGGTTTGGTCGCTGTCTCTGAGGCAGGGCACTGGGTAGGTCTTTTGTTTGTGTTTTCTTTTTCTTTCCTGAAGGGAGGGCAGCTCTTCCCAGAGGGCTTTTTGGGGATCCTCACTTTATTTTCTTTCAAAGATGTCTTTTTGGGCAGTTGGCCTCCTCTGTCCCTTGCAGCTGGCTTCTTGGCAGTGAGGGTCTTGGTGGCTCCATCGATATGCTTCTCTTTGCTGGCTTTCATCACCGCTCCCTTGTCCCTCCTGTCCTGAGTGCTGCCACCTTCGGTCCTCTTGCGCTTATTCTGAACTTCTGCTTTCAGCAAGATTTCAGACATCTGCTTCCCTTTCCTTCCCTTGGTTCCATCAGCACCCTTGGGTTTAATGGGAAACCCGTAGGCATCCACTTGCAGGGCGTGCCTGGGGGACATCAGAGGGTGGATGCACACACTTTTACAGCTCTGCTTACCTTCCACGGCCAGACCAGAAGGGCTTTCCTTTTTCTCGTTCTTGATCAAGCGCTGCTGAGCTCTGAGCTTTCCCCGAATATTGGAGTACTTCCTAAGGATCCGGGTGCTGGCTGGCGTCGGTGAGCCTGTAGAAGGATGGCTACTTCTACCTTCCTTGATCTCCTCTTTTCTGTCTTCAGAACTGGGGCCTCGGTTGACATCACTGCCATTCTCTGGCTCCACTTGGTCAGGATTCTCTCGAAACTTGGCCCAGAGCTTCTGCATTTTCCAGTTGTTCTTCGCAGGAGTAGCTCCGGGAAATTTCTTCAAGTGTTTTTTCAAGCGTTCAGCCTGCAGTGAACTGGGGTACAGGCTGGAAGGGGAGAACTTCTGAAGAGGGTGCTTGACGGGAGGTGTGTCTCCCGGAAGACGAGTGTTGAGCTTCTTCACGATGACCAGAGACCGGGTTTCAGTTGTCTCTAAGAACCATTTGCAGACATTAGACAATTTAAAGTTGGTCATGAACAGCATCTGAACAGGAGAAAACTTTTGAGCTTCCAACGCACCCTTACATTTCCGTGACCTTTTCTTGCTTTTCCAAATCTCCTTGAGCTTATCCGACCTGTTCCTCGCTCTTGGTGCTGGCTGGCCTTCTTTCTCCAGCTGGATCCAGCCTTTCTGAACTTTCATGTACTGGGCATTGAAGTTGGCAATGAGCTCTTGGTTTTCCTCCTCAGCACACCACTCCATAAACTTTGGCTGCTCGTTGACCACTTCTTCCCCATCGTCCTCATCTACGGGATCTTCACTCTCTGAAGCTTCGTTGTCCTTGGGTATTAGGTTTTCTTGTGCTGCTTCCTTTTCTGAAGTCACATTTGTGGTGTCCAAGGAGTCCAGAGAATGAGCATGTCTTAGGTTGTAGTTCGAAGACGACTGTCTCGTGAGCCTTGGTACCCATTTTGAGGGCCCAGCATCATCATCGCTACTTGACAACTCGAGGACGATGGGTGGCTCCTCATGATCATCACCTTTATGCTGGGCGTTTGCACCGTCCATCTCATTTACAACCTCCTCCAGGTCGAGTGCAGGAACAGGTCCTGGCTTCTCTTCTGACTGCTCTGGGAAAGGACACGGAACACTTTCTAAGAGGTCTTGGGCACTTTTCTCACCTAACTTAGACTGGACATAGATTTCCAGTCTCTCTCCAGGCAGGGGCTGGCCAACTGTGGTAACAGGATCACTGTTGGGGAAAAGATCTCCTTCTTCTTTTTTGGCCTCTTTGGCCAGCATGTTTTTAAAAGTCTGCCTAGTGATGATCCCACCTTCCTCGCCCTCCTGCTCAGCATCCTTCTCAGAGGAATTTTCATGGACATCTGGGTTTTCGATGTCATCCAGAGCTTTTGGATGGAGACTCTCGGTCAACAAGTCCTCAGGTGTTGTTTCACCAGGGTCCTCTTCTTTTTTAGAACATTTTGCATCAGGGTTTTTAGAAACTTTGACCTCAGGGCAAGCAGAGGAAGAATCTGAACTTGGATTTCTTAGGTCCTTATCGGTAGAGGAAGAATCTGAAAGTTGACTTCTTAGGCACCTATCTGAGGCCTCAGGGCATTTTTTACCCTTTTTCTTCTTGTCCGAGTTCTCTTCAGGTGTGTCCATGGTTTGTTCGCACATATCTTTTTCTGAAGAATGTTTTCTATCATCACCTTCTTCCTCTAATTTTTCTGTACCACTTGCTGCTTTACTTTCCTCAATGTCACTGGGGTTTTTCTTAGTCAAAGTGCTGCTTTCCTTCAAGAGCGGGTCAGAATCCAGCTCATGGGCATCTTCAGTCTCAGCCTCAGTACTGATGCTTTGTTCATCCTCAGCCTTTCCCAGGCTTGCGGGAGGCTCCAAGCTTACGGGGGCACTTTGATTTTCTGAGCACAGAGGACTTTCTGCCCTTCTGACTGTTTCAGGAGAAGAAGTAGGCCTAGTCCCAACATCTTCTCTGTCTCCCTCAGAAGAGCTCTCAGTAGAGGGAGCCAGGGGATAGTCCTCAGGTTCACTCGTCCCCTTCGCATCAGGCCGTTCAGCTGGGTGTTGGTCTCGTTCAGGGGAAGCGATCCCACTTGCTGTGGGAGCTGCGACCATGGAGCTGCCTTCGGGCATGTCCTCTTCTGGAAGGTGAGCTGGAGGAGGGCATGCCGGGCTGGAGGCTGTTGTTTCCTTGGACCTCGGGGAGCTGGTTGGATTGGGTTGGTTCACTGTGGGGCAAACCTCAGGCTCTTGAGATTTCTTCTCAGATGAAGCGTCGCTGTCTCCTTCCTTGGGGGAGGTTATTTCTTCACGAGGCTCTTCAGCGTTGTCCTCTCTGGGAGGCTGCACATCCGCCGTAGGTCTCGGGGTTGAACTGATGAGGGTCTGCTTGGGAGTGACCACTGCCTCAGATGCCAGTGTCGAGCAGCTTGGTTTTTCTTGGGAGTGTAAGTTTCTGGCCAGTGTGCGAACAGTTGGCAGCTCGCAACAATCACCATTGAAATAGTATCCTCGAGTACTTTTTCTGGCTGTTTTCCGAGAAGACAACATTGATCTCTGATTCTCAAAGTGGCATTCTGTTATTGGCTGACTGATATAAACGACATCACACTGGTTATCATAATCATTTATCCTCAGCCCTGATGCCCTTTTACTCTTCCGAGCTGTCTTGATGGAGGCTGACAACATCTTGGTTCGAGAGTGTCCACTGGATGCTTTGTGCACAGCTGGCATGGGGCTGGGGGCTAACCAACCACCTTTGGAATGATCATACTGGCCCTTGTCGCTGGGATGCAAATGGTAACCCACCTTATTTCTTCCTAGTGAGTGAAGATGGTTCTCTTGCTTTGGCCTTGAATCTTGTTCACTTGCCTCTAACTCCTGGCACAAAGGCATTCTGGAGCTACACTGTAAAGTATTCTCTTTGTCAGCAGTTCTAGATGAATTCCCTGTAAACTCCGAGTCCCAAGTCTCTTCTGATAAAGCTCTGAATGAATGTCTTTGAGAAACAATACAGGTGTTCTCCTCACTAGTTTCAGTTGCCGATTTTCCTGCAACTAGACTTTCTACTAAAGCTGAACTCGGCATATGGTCTTTACCACCCTCACATGCTTTCACATTTGTGTCTTGCTCCTGTCCAGTGGTTTGGCCCTCCACACTCTTAGAGGTGTGATGGAGGTTGAATGGGGAAGAATTAGATGTACTAAGGTGTCCCAGAGTGGAACTATCCGTTGAACTCTCAGAATTAGATTTAGTGGTTGGAAGTTCAGAGGAATCTTTCTGTACATCAGTCAAGGCATTCTCTCTTCCATCTACAGAGTTCGTCTCAGGAGGAGGCTCCTTCAGGGCCTTTTCTGCCAAGGGTGGAGGACTGTGAGAGCCTGAGGAGTCTATCAAATCTACAGAATGAGGAGACTTCATCTCGAGACACAGTGCATCATTTTCCTTATGTCTGGTGCCTAGCTGGGCACAGCCAGCATTGCAATTGGATGCATCCATTGCTCCAGAATCAGAAGGTTGCAGGTCCTCGGTGTCTGGCTGAGATTCGGTGTACAGATCGTTTAGAACACGAATGAACTGCTTCTGATGATGAGTGCACAATTTGACCATAAACTTCTCCAGAGGGGACTTCGACTGATTGTTAGAATCTACTGCTATTGCATCTGTTGAGTTCTCACTAGACAGACAAAGAGAAAAAAGAAATTAGAATGGTCATTTTGCAAAGAACCATTTTTACATTCTGAAATTCACCAGATGTTACTCATGTTATAAAGATAGTGTTATAACTGCTTCTAAATGCCTACATACTTTTGCTTCAAAAATTAATCTTTATCCAATTAAGTATAAGGCTGCTCTACTCTCAATTTTTAGTGACAACATCCTTCATACTTTTTAAATGATCATTCACAAATAATTTTTATCTCCTAAAGAAGAAATATTGAAAATACATGTTTTTGGAAAAAACTAAATTTTGGTATTCTTATTAACTCCAATTAGTCAATATATACTTTTGTTTTAGATCTGGATACTCCTGTTAAATAATTATTGTTTTATAAGTCGACAACACTGACAAAAATTCGGGCACATTACATTACAAATCATGGTGTAGAAATACTTTGAGAAATTATAGTTTTAATATGGTTTATCAGCACGACCAATTAGCTAGACTTTTTAGTTCTGCAAATAATAATGCAGGGACCCGCTACCCCTTTTCTGGGGTATGGATGAACTAAGATCAATAATTTCACATTTCATACACACTGAAAAATGGAATGACAAGCCATTCCTGATTCCTAGCCTCTAAGTGAGAAAATAGATGTGAAATGACATTGAAAACTATAGGGCTTTGTCAATGCAAGGCGGTGTTATGTCTTTAGTCAAACCCCAACTTTGGCATTGTCTTAGACCTTCAATAACCATTTTATAATAATCCACAGGAAGTCATTCTACATTAAAGAACCCCCTTCACACTTTATAAGTCATCCAGGACAATTCTTAGAGTTTAACCTGGGTAGTGGGGGCAATAGGAAAGACCATACAAGATTCAAAACAGGCAAAGGCAATTCCTGGCTAGACAGCCAAGAGTTTGCAAGAGTGACTCAGTGTTTCTGGATGTCTGGGTCTTACTAAGCCCATGCAGCTGGAGTGCTCCAGTGCTCTGGAGTTTTATACACTCTCTCAATCTCTCTCTCTGGATTACATTTCTTCAGAAGCCTATTATCTGACTCTTTAAGTAATATGGCAAAGCACCGAGGGCAGCTTAATAAATGTGCTGAACAGATGTTGTTTGATAATATCTCCAAGATAACTCTTCTTTTTTTGAATCTGTGACATTATCTCCCAGCCATGAGGTGCCTTATAGGAAAGCTTACCCTAGCCAACCTACACCAGACTCCTACTTCCCCATCCTCCTCTCGCCTCTGAAACAGTAGGGTTTTCTTGGAAAGAGCACAGATTGTGGAGTCTGAAAAACCTACATTCTACTTCTCACTCTGCTATTTAGTAGTTATAGAATCTGAGGAAAATGAAACTTTCTGAACGTGGTTTCTTCGTCAGTAAATTGCAGCTGAATACCAGTATTTCAAATGATTGATGTGAGATATTAGATAATGAACATAAAGCACAAAGCACCAAAAACAGGTCTCCATTTTAGTTTCTCTGTTCCTGGCTCAGGAGATTTTAGGATCAAGTGGTGAAAAATTGCTGACACGTGTAAATACAGAACAAAATGAAACTATTAGTGAACTCTGTTAAAACTTTTACAAGTGAAAGATTAGACTGTTTTATGTTCACAACTAGCAAGACAGCACTTTTCTCCAGCGGTTCTATGAATATCTGAACTGGTCTATGTTAGGCTGCAGGTTAGATGGACATGTCTTGGAAACTGCCTACCTCAAAATTGAAAATGATCGTGAAATTGTGAGTAAACCACGAAAAATATTATTACAGAATTATCACAGGTGTAGGGGATGATGAACTTTAAAGTATACGATGGCTGCCGGGACCAGTTTAGCTCAATGGATAGAGCGTCGGCTTGGGGACTGAAGGGACCCGGGTTCGATTCCGGTCAGGGGAATGTACCTTGGTTGCAGGCATATTCCCAGTAGGGGGTGTGCAAGAGGCAACTGATCAATGACTCTCTCTCATCGATGTTTCTAACTCTCTATCTCTCTCCCTTCCTCTCTGTACAAAATCTATAAAATATATTAAAAAATAAATAAATAAAGTATACGATGGCAATGGGGCAAAATTCTAACGAAAATAAGAAAAGCAACTAGAAAAAATTCATTGAGTACTCCTATGATATATGTATTTCTCTCTATATATATTGTCCTTCAGGAAAGTTTTTAAAAGGCAACATCTGGAAGGGCAACAGGAAGAGTTTCCTCCTGCTGTGTGAGAATGGCAATAATCTTCCCTCCGAGCAGGTGAGACACCAATGACACCCAGAGGTGGGGGGCTATTAAGTCATTCCACCTCTAGGACTCAACGAGATGTACACAGGAGCTTAACTCCTCAAGCAGTTGCAGACTTTGCAGCTGGAGGAACAGTCAGAGGGCCCTGCTGAAGGACCCCGTCCAGAAAGTACTTTGTGACTATGTCGATCAGATGGTATCAAAAGTAGAGTAACCAGAAATAATCAAAAAGCAAGTGTTGCAGCATAGCAAGTCCTAAGCCTCAAGTGATATCGAACTCCCTTTATGGTTGTAAGACTTGGATCTGCTGCTGTTACATATTTCAATAATTTAATAGTGCTTCAATATTTAGTTATCCCAAAGAGTCACGCATCCAACCCTGAAGCAATGGCTATGGCAATGTGGTTTAGGACAGACCAGTCCAGACAGCCATAGATAGGTATGAACTAATCTGCAAGGTCATAGTAAGGGGAGGTGGTGTCTTCACAAACAACCCACTGAACTCTGTCTGCCCTGAACACTGCAGTGCAGCACTTGGAGGCTGAAACACAGCATCAGAGAGGCGGGCACAGGCTATACCAGCCTTAAGAGGCATTTACAGCAGTGGTTTAGGGAACCTCAGGAGATAAAAATATTAAAATTGCAAATGGCAACCTGACTAGTGAGAAAGAGACTTCAACAAAGGGTTATTTGTGCGTTTTCTTGGTAGAAAGGATCAGGGCTGATGTACTAGTGAACCACAAGTCATCAGAGCAAGCCATAGGATGCTCCTTACCAATTACACCTTGGCTACCACAAAGTGATCCCACCTGGAGTGACTGCACGTGTTCCTGAAATCCTATGCCATAATGCTTTCATAAAATTCACTGGCAATCCCCCTAACCAGTTTGGCTCAGTGGACAGAGTGTCGGCCTACAGACTGAAGGGTCTCAGGTTCTATTCTGGTCAAGGGCATGTACCTTGGTTGCGGGCACATCCCCAGTAGGGGGTGTTCAGGAGGCAGCTGATCGATGTTTCTCTCTCATCGATGTTTCTAATTCTCTATCCCTCTCCCTTCCTCTCTGTAAAAAGTCAATAAAATATATTTTAAAAATTCACTGGCAATTATAAGGGGTCTTGTATATTTATTCTATAATTTATATCTTTTTCTGATTTAATTGGTCTATCTTCCCAAGCAAATATAAGCTATATGTATGTACATAGGGACCACATTTCTGGTTTCCTCTTAGCAAGAAAGAAGGGATGGGAAGGGAGCATCAAGGATGATTCTGGGTTTTCTTCCTGGGCAGCACCATTTAGTGAGATAGGAACCAAGGCAATGGAGCTGGCGGCTGGTGATTGTTAGGGTGTGTTGTGTCTGATGGGCTCTGTTCTGTACACACTGAGTGGATTTCTAAGATTCTGAATCTGAGATGTCTGGTTGGCAACTGGACACACAGGCATGAGCCCACTAGTAGCTTCAATTGGATCTTGATGTTAATACTAACCATGTCATTCAATGGCCCTGTCATAATAACTAACTTTATAACTACAGTAATAAAATCACTTCTGATTGTGCCTCTACATTATCCAGCTTCCCACCTCGTTTGATATTTCTCCAGAAATTTTCTCAATAGTTTTAGATGAATTTTAATTTCATATCATTTGAATGTTAATTTTAAAAATTAATCTCAAGTCTCGCCGAAACCGGTTTGGCTCAGTGGTAGAGCGTCGGTCTGCGGACTGAAAGGTCCCGGGTTCGATTCGGTCAAGGGCATGTATATTGGTTGCGGGCACATCCCCGGTAGGGGGTGTGCAAGAGACAGCTGGTCAATGTTTCTCTCTCATCGACATTTCTAGCTCTCTATCCCCCTCTCTTCCTCTCTGTAAAAAAATCAATATATTTAATAAATAAATAAATAAATAAAAATAAAAATTAATCTCAAGTCTTAAAGTTTAATTCTATTAGAATTTTTTTCATGTTTAAACAATGGGTGCTAGCCAGTTGTGCTCTAGTTTTAAACAGCTAGTCTTTACCTTTACTTCTAGTTATTCAATTTTTCCAATAGCCTTAATAGAGCCAAAAGGTATTATTTACCCTGGTTTAGAATCCTCTAGGCAGTAAGCAGGGAAAGTACAGGGGTTGAGTTTCTGTTCCATAGACCATTCATTCATCAGCCAAAGGGGAAGCCCTATGTTTTAGTTCAGGGATTATAGTCAATACCACAGTATGTCTCTCACATCTGACTATAACATATCTTTATAAGAATAACAGTTCATCACAGATTTTGAAATCACTTGTTTGAGTTCATGTTTCTTCCACTCAACAACAGGACTCTTTGTAAGAGTTATTTATGAATCAGAAATTACTTTACCACCACCACTGAAGAGCAGTAAGATTCTAGGGACTGGTAAATGAAAGAAAGGGCTGTGGGAAGAGGGGAACTTGATTTCCAACTACCTGGACTAGTTTTGAGTTTCTTATAGTGAGTAATGGCCTTAAATGTCAAATTCTTAAGGGTGTGGTAAAAGGATAAGATAATATTCATAAAAACTTGGAAAGGCATAGTTTAAGAATGATGTTATTTCACAATCCTATCTTTAATGATTTACTCAACGATGTTTTTCTAGATCAGAGGTTAGACACAGCAGAACTCACCTACTTTGTCAATACTGCAATACTTAAATTACCCAAAGGAAAGCATTCCTGTGGTTAATATACCGTATTTTTCGGACCATAAGACGCACCAGTTTTTAGAGAAGGGAAATGAAGAAAAAAAGA